TTGCTTCCACTTCCTGAGCCCCTGATAGGCACTCTTCCAGTCTCAACTTCTATATGATCAACTTTTGTTTTAATTGACACAGGCTGGGGGTGGTGGCACACGCCTGTAATCCCAACACTCTGGAGGCTGAGGCAGGAGGATCACTGTGCATTTGAGGCCATCCTGAACTGCATAGTGAGACCTTGTCTCAAAAAAAAACTTTTAATTGACACATCCTTGTACATATTTGTGGAGTATGTATGTTGTGAAGTTTTGATACGTGTATATACCGTGTAATGATCAAATCAGAGCAGTTAGATTGTCCATCACACATACCTTTATCACTTCTTAGTGGTTAGAACATTTGCAATCCTCTCTTCTGGGCTACAGAAGTAGCTCAGTGGTAGAACACTTCCATGTCGTGTACAAGGTCCCAAGTTCAATCCTCAGCACTATAAAATTCTCTCATTTTAAACTATATTCACTCTGCTGTGCACCAGACCACATTCCTCCTCCCTCACTGTGATTAAGGCCTGTTCCTGCCCTCCCTCTACCTTCCCCATCTCTGGGAACCACTCTTCTCTCTTTATTCAGGCAACTTTTATGAGTCAATCAAAAAATAAAACTTAAAAATAATGAACCTTTTTTTTTTTTTTTGTCTTTTTGAGACAGGGTCTCATTATGCAGTTCAGGTCGGCCTTGAGCTCACCTTTTAGCCCAGGCTGGTCTCAAATTTGCAACAATCCTCCTGCCTCAGCCTCCCAATTACAGGCATGCACCACTACACCCAGGTTGATGAACCTTCCTATGTCTTAAAGGTTTGAGATGGAAAAATCTCCAGAATTCATTTTTAAGTTGAAAAAACTTTATAGAATACATGTCTTTGCAGAAAAAAAAAGAAATCAAAATATTTTCAGAGTTACATAAAACAAAATTTTAAGAAAATACACTAGAAACTAAGAGCAGTGATTGTCTGTTGAGGAGTAGAAGCTGGACAGAAAAGGAAGAAGTCTGTGAAGGAGACTTCTCTGGAAGGAGACTGTTTCTTATATACTTTAAATGCATTTTTGTTACAATGCCATACCCATTGAACCTACCCAGAGATAGAATTTCTAGGATCTGAAAGAAGAAGGAAGGAACAGGTAGCATGTGTGAGGTCATCCTTAGAAGCTGTAAGAGGAAGGAGAAACTAGGGAAAGTTCTGATCAGTACAGTGGAGAGAAAATTATGAGGTGGATATTAAAGAATGTTGGCTGGAGTGGAGCTCAGTGCTAGAACACATGCTTAGTGTGTGAGCGGCCCTGGATTCAATGCGCAGCACACACACAAAACCCAGATTGGTAAATAGATAAAAGAACAAAGAATGTAGGCTGTGAGTCATGGTTCTCCTCATACTTCCCAACATAACAGTCGTGCTGCTGCAGTCGGAAATCCTGAGGCAAGCCGGGGCATAGCTCAGTGGAAGAACACAACATAAGCCTAGCATGTTGGGGCCCTGGTTCTATCCCCAGTATGCAGGAAGGGCTGGAGAGGGAGAGAGGAAAGAGAAGGAGGAGGAGGGAGAAGAGGAGGGGGAAGAGAGGGAGGGAAAACAGGAAGACGAGGCAGCGGTGGCAGCATAGGGAAAATGGAGCTCACGTGAGAGAGTTCGCAATAGGGAAGATGCTCAGAAGCAGAAAAGACATCTGGTGAGACAGAAAGCACAGGTGTTAGATGATGTAAGTGAAAAGCTATTGCAATTTACTAATCTTATGTCTTAATTTTATGTCCTTGCATAAGTTAATTTATCCAAGTGACTTATCTCTAAAGTGAACTGACATACATTTTAGAAATATAAATTATGAAAGTATAAAAATTAAATATAATCCCAGTACTGTTCTTACGGGGAGAAGCATTGTTTGGAACACCGCACTGTCTCCGTTCTGAAGGCTGGAGGTGTTGTACCACGAGTCGGAGGGTATCTGAGGACTGTGAAGGATGGCAGGAAGGGGGAGAGGTAAATATATTTGCAGGAGGGTCTAAGGCTCCCAGAGCAAAAGCACTGCTTAAGAAGCATTGACAGCTGAAGACATTTAGAGAGAACCTTTCTTTAAAAATTTGAAATCAAGATTCCTCACAAAACTAGGATTGGAAGTCCCATTTAACCCAGATATTCCTCTTCTGGGTATTTTCCCAGAAGAATTA